ACTCTCCCTCGAAGCTCTACTGGATCGTGAGTTCGTGGGACGTCATCAAGCTGAACGTGTGCAGATCGCGAAGGTGTCGTACGTTCGGTACTAGGATCGGTCGATCGTGAAGACGTACGACTACATCAACCGCGTTGTCATAACGCTTCCACTTACGGTCTACGAGGGTACGTAGACTATACTCTCCCCTCTCGTTGCTATGCATCACCATGATCTTGCGTGTGTGTAGGAAAATTTTGAAATTACTACGTTCCCCAACACGAAGTAACGCCTTAAGTAACACGACATGATGTAGAGGGATAAACTCAAGCAATATGATATAAACCCTATCTTTTTATCCTTGATGGCAACAATACAATACATGCCTCGCTACCCCTTCTGTCACTGGGTGAGGACACCACAAGATTGAACCCAAAACTAAGCACCTCTCCCATTGCAAGAAAAACCAATCTAGTTGGCCAAACCAAACCTATAGTTTGAAGAGAAATACAAAGATATTTTAATCATGCATAAAAGAGTTTAGAGAAGACTCAAATAATATTCATAGATAATCTGATCATAAATTCACATTTCATTGGATCTCAACAAACGCACCGCAAAAGAATATTATATCAGATAGAACTCCAAGAACATCGAGGAGAACGTTGTATTGAATATCAAAGAGAGAGAAGAAGCCATCTAGCTACTAGCTATGGACCCGTAGGTCAGTGGTAAACCACTTACACTTCGTCGGAAGGGCAACAAGGTTGACATAGAGGCCCACCGTGATCGAATCCCCCTCCGACAGGGTGCCAGAAAAGGCCCCAAGATGGGATCTCACGGGAACAAAGGCTTGAGGCGGCGGAAAAATATTTTGATGGATGCTTCTAATGTTGGGGGAATATTTGAGAATATACAGAGGTGGTATTAGGGTTGGAGGTCTCCCGAGGGGCCGACAAGCCCTCAGGGCGGGCGGGCCCTAGAGGCTTGTGGCCTCCTCGGGACTCTTCTGGTCCTCTCTCCAAGTCACGTAGGTGTCTTATAGTTAAAGAAAAATCATCGTAAAGTTTTATTTCGTTTGATATTCCTTTTCTGTAAAACTCAAAAACAAGGAAAAAACAGAAATTGGCACTGGGCTCTGGTTTAATAAGTTAGTCCCAAAAATAATATAAAATAGCATATTAATGCATATAAAAGCATCCAAAATAGATAATATAATAGCATGGAACAATAAAATATTATAGATACGTTGGAGACGTATCATGCCCCGGGCACACGATGCTTGATGGAGGTTTCTCGAGCGGATCCGGGTGAAAACCGCCTTCTCGACTGGTTGCCAAGGCCGATGATGGCAGCACTCTTTTGTATCGTTACCTTCTTGAAGGCATCGCCATGGAGAAGCTCCATATCTCTATTCGCTACCTTCGGCGAAAATCCTAGATCAGTAGATCGGATGATGGTGGAGCTCTGGTGTTGTTTTCCCCTTGGGGGCGTCATTCTTGGAGGTGTATATGAGCGATGGACCAGTGGACGCCTTCTTTGGTGAAGGGGTGCTTCATCCTACACATTGATGGCGGCGGATCTCGGCAGCGTGGCGCAGTGGAGACTCGGTGTCCGATGTGCGGAGATGAACTCGCGCAGGAGGAGGACATTGTCTGGTGTCATGGTGCCATCGATGGAAGAGAAGCCTGGCAAGGTCGATGCCTTAGTTTCTGCCCTGAAGATGGATTGGTGGAATACGACGACGATGACACATAAGAGTGCGTTGGACCGGTTTGTACCCCAAACCCAGTATGTGGCTTGGTTGAGATCTTCGACTTTAGATGTTAGGTATTGGTGCAATGTCTGTTTGATATTAGGCTCGGACTATCGAAATCCCTTCATTAAGTGGATAGAAGTAGCGACAACTGTTGCTAAGATGATGGCTTTAGACTACGTGATGTACTACTAAAATGGCTATATACATCACCCAGTGCAGAGGGTGGGGGTAATCCTCCTTTTCTGAAAAACAACAACACCATTTCTAGGCATCGAACACATGATGATTACTCCCTCTGTCCCATAATATAAGAATGTTTTTGGCACTAGTATATATCAAAAACGTTCTTATATTATGGGACGGAGGGAGTAGATGTTACTGGCTATCCACTGACGGAAGGAAAAACAAGCTTCTCTCTTATTCTCTACTGAAGTAGCATCAGATCGTGCTTGAGGAAGTGTCTCCAAACTTGAATAGTTGGTTGTTGCTCTATAAAAACTTTACCATTTCTTTGTATCCATATATTCTAGCATCCAAAGATCACAATTTCTGTATTGAAACTCTTTGCAGTTGTCGATTCCATTTGTTCAAGAATTGAAGTTCCCCTCTTTTATTGGGGGTCAAAGTGTTCCAACATTATTGTGCAAAGTCACCGTCTCAAAACAAAAGGAGTGGCGTTTCTTATGCATCGTGGCTGCAGTTTGGACAGAAGTGGTTTTCCAGATGCATGCCTTATTATTCTAAGAAGGGCTCTTGTTGTTAGCTCTGTTGTGTGCTATCAGCCAGAAAAAAAACTTATGTTTTAGCCTGCTAGAGCTGCTCCAAATGAGTTTGAAGATTGGATGTCCTTCCTCTTCTTCTATCACATGTTTGTACTTTTTTTTAAACGGAAGCAAAAGATTCGTCTCATCTATTAAAGAATGGAATAGAGAGTATTACACGTGAACCACCATCTTGACATGACAATTCCGTTTATGTCCCTTTTCTGGTTGTACATTTTCATGGAAGAGTGATTAGCTGCTTGCACATTGCATAACCATTTACGTTCCTTTTTTTGTTTTAACAAATCTGAATATCTTATAACTTGCTAGAATTCCCTACGACTAAATGTTGATAGTTGAAATAATGTGGTTGGGCATATGCTCATTGTTCTTGTGCAATCGGTAATTAAATGAGTCCAATCATGTTACTCTGAACATAACAAAGGGGCCAGCAAGACCAGGTCCGGCTCTAAGCATGCCGGCCCATTCCCATCCAGAGCACTAATACCATTTTGGAACAAAAAATGGAACATAAATGGTTGGGTACATGGGAGGATGGTGCGTACGTTCTACTAGACCATTCACATACTCTTCCTCGGAACCCGCAAAAGATTAAGGATGGAAACTTTCTCGTGTTTGCCATTGGGCAAGTTACCTGAAAATGAAATTCGGGTTAATCGAATTCTGGAGAGTAGCTCCCAGGCGACGATGGAGACACCACGACAAGGCCTCAGATGGGAGACCTAGAATCGGGGACGATGAGACGGCGGTGCCACCGATGGAGGGGAGTCAAAGGCACGTGAGGGAAGGGGACACTAGCAACAGGTGGCGATCGCGTGGGAGGTAGGGAGGGGTTGTAACTGCGCAGTGGCGGTGACGAGGTGTCCACCATTGGATTTGGTTTGTGACATGGTGGCCGCTGCTCGAGCTGGAAGCCGTCGAGGAGCCACAATGCCCGCGATCTCTCACGCCTCTCGCCCCGGGCCTCCTCTCTAGTAAGGCTGATTGCGGTGGGACACTGGTCGACTGGGATTTGCTTGGCGGTGGTTGTTCAGGGTTTGATGTGGTGCGTACCGACCGGCCAAACTCCAACTCATGGTGCACACTCGAGTTCCTCCTAATTTGCAGTGCGAAATTCAACGGGCTTAAAATTGTAGGCCCACATAAGATATGCTCACGTTTTCAGCACTAGCCTTTCTCTTGCAAATGTTTATAAACAAATCCTATTCCATGCATACACGTGGACTCGTGGATACCAAGCAAATGAGCATGCCACATTTCCGGCCGGCCTAGTGCGGGCGAGACGTGGCCTACCAAAGATACTTTATAAATTTTGCATATATTTTCTATCATTTTGTGACATTTCTAAAAGTCTGCACACATTTTTACAATTTTTAAATCATAGAGGTATTTTGGAAAAGAAAATTCATTTTCATTTTTTGAAGTCTTATTCATTTCCCATAGAAGGTGAAATTTTTTCCATTTTTTCATGAACTTATTTTTCACATTTTCCATAAAACTTGTGAATTTGCAGAAAAACCAGAAAAGAATAAAAAACGACACCTTGATGTGGGACGACCCAAAAGTCACGTAAGGGTGCATGTTTTCTCCCTATTCTGCATGTTTTTTTTATTTGTATTTTTTTTGCTTCTCTTTTATGTTTTATTTGGTTTGTCTCCATTTTTGGTTTTTTTATTTCTATTTTTATTCTATTTCCATTGTTTTTCTTCTTATTATTATTTCCATTTTTGTTTTAAATTTAGATGTTAGAATAAAATGTAAACATTTTGTCTATATATTAATTTTTTTAAACGTAGAACATTTTGTCCATTTTTGTTTCCAATGCACGTTGAATATTTCCTAAATACATGAGGAACATTTTGAATATATCTTAAATATACATTGATTTTTCTAAACATATGTTGAACAAATTTTATACATGATGAGCTTGTTCTAAACATGTTTAGTTTTTGAAAAATTACAGGAATATTTTTCAAATGCGTTTACACTTTGTAGAAAATGCATAAAATAAATTTTAGGAGGACATGATTATTTTATATATGTGCACACACACATATTTTTTAGTTGTTTATTATTAAAATTGTTATCTTTATATAAATTAGTAAGACAATTTATTTCTTTTAAATATAATAAAAAATTTTTGTGTCTGTCTGAAAATATATTACTCCCTCCGAGTGAGTAGTGTATTTTAACCTTTTGTTTTTTGAGGGCATTAGTGTATTTTACATTTTTAGCTAAAAAACCTGCGCTACTTGTGCCGGCCCATGAAAGACGTGCGTGAGCGACCAGGTCGTATCGCTCGCAGCGGGCGGTGTATAGTAGCTCCCCTTCGTCGCTCTACTCGCCAGCTCGGATTGAAGAAAGTGTTGCTCGGGGCCCACCACGAGCTCGCGATACGCAAGCCCATAATTCCTCTTCCCCTTGTGTCTAAAAAAATAAATCAAATTCCTCTTCCCCTCTTCTGCTCCGGCGACTCGCCGATGTCCTTACCGCTATCCGGCCACCGTACCATCCTCCTTCTCATCCTCATCGAGCTCCTAGTCCCGCTCCGGTGCGCGGGGGAGTCGGCGACGTGCCTTGCCGTGTACCGCGAGGGCGGCGCGCCCGCGGTGTACCAGTCCGCGCACTGCTCCCGCTGGACCATCCTCTCCGACGGCGAGGGAGATGGGGACAAGGGCTCCTCCCCCCCGCAGCCGAGGAGGTGCCATGTGGCGGCTCACCGTGGCCGCCGCCGCTCCCAGGAGGACCGCGCCGTCTGCGCGCTCGGCATCCGCATCCCCTTCATAGGTACCTGCACAACACGGAGTTAGTAAATCAAATCCGCAATTTACACGCGGTGTTGCATTGCAGCTATGAGGGGGAAGGACGAGGGAGTATTGAGAAATCATGTGCAGTTAACCAGAACTTCCAGGATTGTACTGGCGACCTTGCTTATTAATTAGAATGCACTTATTATTATGCTTCATGAACTCTGAGCTAGAAATGAGGAATGAAAACAGTATTCTGCTTCTGGTTTACTGGTACTATGATTTTTGCTCCTGAATGTTAGTTGGCATCTCATGTCAGAGAGTGTAGTCACTAAGAAATTGTAAAATGGGAGTGGGAAGCTGGATATCATGTTGGAAGGATAATAGTTTGTGAATGTACTGGGCGCTTTCTGCAGAATAGTTTCCGGCAGAGTTTATTAGGCCTAGCACAGCATCTTTTTCCTGCCATTAAGGTTGCATATTGTGAGACTGCGAGTTGCTCAAGTTGACTAGTGCTTCATGACTCATATGTCTAGGGATAACAAGCTGCTATTAGCCTATTACGTAGTCAGCCAAATGATTTGTAGAAATACTTTTCAAAGTGCTTTGGTCATTGTGATTTTATGCTCGATCCTTTAACATGCACCCTGTTCATTTGTAATCTGATCCTGGTTAACTTGCTATATTATACAGAGCAAATGAGGATTAAAGAGGTGGATGTAGGAGTGATGGCAATATTTGATGGTCATAATGGAGATGAGGCCAGTGAGATGGCTTCTAAGCTCTTACTGGAGTACTTGTTGCTTCATGTTTATTTTCTTCTTGATGGTATATACTCCATCATGTTCAGAAACTCAACTGGAAAGCTGACACATAAGGAAGTTACTATTCTTAACAGTGTTCTTAACCTGTACAAAGAGGATCAGTCCAATCACGGCCAGAGGTTTGTCTTTTATCATGCCCTTTAATCCATGTAAATAGTTCTGGTTGTGTTTACACTATGGAGTTACATCCTGTTTACAGCATGATGATTTTGATGTTTCCTTGATCTCCGAATGCTATTAAAGTATTAATGTTTATATGCCACTTTCAAAGAATCTGAACCTTGTTTTCAGGGAAATAAAAGTTGTTCATGGTTCTAAAAAAGTGCAGGTCATGTTGGACATCACCCACTATTCTAGATCGATCTTTTCACATGGAAATTCTGAAGGAATCATTATTGAGGGCAGTTCAGGATATTGACCTAACATTCTCCAAGGAAGGTCTCATTTTCGTAAGCAAATTTAAACTTCATTGTGCACGTTCGTAAGAATTGAAAAGAGTTATTTGGCATCTGTAATGCAGGAAGCTTTACGAAAAAATTTCAAGTCCGGTTCAACAGCTACTGTGGTCTTGATAGCCGATGGCCAAATCATAACAGCTAATGTAGGAGATTCAAAAGCATTTTTGTGCTCACAAAGTCATGCCCCATACCGCCAAAAGAGTTAGTCTTCTTTCTTTTATTATTTAAATAACTTACCCAAATGGATGTTGCTTATTCTGGATGTTTAAGCACTGATACTTCTGTCCTGTCAACTACTCTCCTACTCTTGCTGGCAAGCATTTTCTTGCATTTTATTTTCTCCCTCCCCCTGTTACCTTGTCTCTCCAGATCCCATACTCTTTCAGTCTCATACATATTACAGATTTATAGGCTATATTTATCTGGGCTGAAAATATCAAGGCATACTACTAATGTTATCCTAATTCCTATCCTCCTTGGATCCATGTTTCTTTGAGCAATGTTTATAATAGATTGTATGAGACACGATTAGCACTGTCTGGTGATCCACATTGCCTCGGTATGGGATTTGACATCCTTGTAGATAATGCTGCAGAAACCAAGTGGCAATCTGGGAGAGTATAGGTGCGCCATGACTTTGGCGAAAAAACAAAAATCAAAATCACCATAATATAGCCGAAGTACATATGGTGAGAAATGTTGAAAACGCCACATTTTAGCTTTTAACTGTAACTTTTGAAACTGCCACGTTGCATTGTTCATGTCGTGATGCATCATTATCTCTTGTCTTAGCATGGCCTTAGTTTTAGTACAAGCTTCTCCTCATTAGACATTAGTGCATGCTTTGCTGTTAGGGGGCCTAGCCTTCATCCTTTTATGTGACTACCTGCATGTGCATTAGTCTTAAGACATTGCCTAGCTGGCTGCGTTCAATAATCGTTTTTAATCTTTTCTAGGTAGTTTAGGGTAGTATAGTTTTTCAGTTTTGTTCTTGCTTTTGCTAGTTTCTTTTCCATTTTGGTTGTTAGTTTCGCCCCATCATGGTGCCCCTTCTAATACAAAATGACATGAATTTTGATGCATGTTCAAGGAAAAACAATTCTGTACTTATAATATCATGGTAGAAAATTTTCTGTTAGGCTACTGAGTAATAATTTAGGCAGGTTGCAGTAACCAAGACCAATATTGGTTCATTTATGGATCAAATCATGAAAGAACTGTGGTAACAAAAATTCTTCACTTCTAGACTTCTAGTTGAACAGGAGATGCTCCAAAATTACACATTTTGCTGCTTCATACAGATAATACCTTCTGCTTTAAATGGTCTCTACATCCTGATCTGCTTGTATGATGACTTGCACTGTGGACTTGTGGAGAAACAATAATCAGAAAGCTTCCATTATCAGGGAAACGGAGAAGAAAGAGAAACTCTAGCAATCATGAGGACTTTGCTTTGGCAAACTATGGTGGACCACTTTACAATGTAAAGGAGTTAACCAGGGACCATCATCCGGATAGAGAGGATGAGAGAAGGCGTGTAGAAGCTGCTGGTGGTTATGTTCTTGAGTGGGCTGGTGTATACCGTGTTAATGGTGAGCTCGCACTATCTCGAGCTATTGGCGACGTGCCTTTTAAACGGTTAGTACGCAATCTATTGAGTTCTTTTTCTCCAATTATGTATAACCTACCAGTTTCCCAAGGTTTTTAATGTATTGGAGTTTGCATCTTGAAAAATAGAAAAGTTACATATAGCCCTACTGCATTTTATTCAAGAGTAAATTTCACCAAACTGCAAGTATCGTGTACAAAGTACAAACTCTCAGAAAACTACGGATTTGGGGATCAATACCAAGAACTATAGATGGTTCAGTTTTATGATTTATCACATAACTGCATGTTGTAGGGTGCACTGAACATTCCATTTGGTCTACTAACTTGGGCCACAAGACAGCCTCTCAAAATAGTGCACCAGTTCCAGGCAACGAGATAAGAGCTGATCAATTGGAATTTACTCATAGAACCGCTGCACAATTCTCTGAGGATGGCTTGTGCGCCCAGATGGTCAGTCCGCACCGGAAGTCGGTGCACGATGAAAATTGATGTAATTAATCACGGAACCTGTAGTTTTAAACCTGTCATTCTGCGAGTTATAGTGTTACTTACAGAAGAGATTTAGGATCTTATTGGTTTGGGATGTATCTCTGTTAACTGGAAATATTAAAATAAGTTGTTACAGTCCGGCTCTGTATTATGCATGGCACCCCATCCCTGTTCATTAAGAAAGAATGAACTAGTCTTATATCTCCCAGAGTCCTTGCTCTAGTTTGTCTCTACCCCCAGCAGGCACAAGTGTTATTCTTTCTTCAAGTCGTTTCTGTCCAACCTCACTATGACAGATGCTTAACCCCATTACTTACTAGCATACATGGGCAACATTATTTGATTTGAAGTAATCATAACAAAGCCAAATAAAAGAATGCTCAACATATACAGACAGTATGAAGTGTGCATACTGAGCTCGCCCAAACTCAACATGCACAGCCTCAACATGACACTCCCCTCACTGGGTTGAATGTGGACGCCTGGACGGCATAGTGAGAACTGAGAAGAGTTCTCAGAAAGCTGAATGGCCACCATTCTGTTCATCGCTTCATTGTCCAGACTCCAGAATTAAGGAACCAACTAACTAAACACCCACTAAGCATTGACCCTAACCAAGGACTGTCCAGTATACTAGGCTCTCAATAACTCTAGACACACATTCTTGTACTTACAAATAGAAAACTTATCAAAGAACTGTACTTACTACTTACTACTTAGTTGTTGATACCTTGTATCAATCACAATGGTAACAAAAATTCAAACCATCGTCATAGTTTTATCTGGGTCCCCAGCTGTTCAGCTCCATTTTTGGCCTGGTACCCATTTTGCTCTGGACTTACTTGCACAGTTGCTTCCAGCGATGGAGCTAGCAGTATAGCATTGAGGTCAGCTGACCCCAAATAAATTCGGGGAATCCTATGGTAAACCACTATTCCTCCATAGAGAACTAGAGTTGAACCCATGGCGTAAATGAAGGTGCCCCACTACAACTCTTGGTTGGCGTCGTCCCTGGACGCTTCCTCAGTTCCCCTCCCTCCAAGTGCCCCGCTTAGGGTCCGCCACTGGCTCCAGGCTACTGGTGCCATGAGGATATCTCTGTCCTATGCCCCTTACATGCAATGATGTGATGTGACACCCACATCTCGTCTTCGCTGCGCTGGTGGTGCACCGATGCCACGTGGAGGTCGGCAACTAGTGCATGGTGATTCCAGAGTTGCAGTGTGTGCAGGGTCAGTTGAGGCAGAGGGTGAGGGTAAGGCCTCAGGGTTGGGAGGAGACATGATGGTGATTAGGGCCTGGTGGTGATAGTCATCCGATTTAGGTTAGGGACTGGGAAGGGGAGTGGAGAGCAAACGAGGAACACCGACTTGAAGTTGAGATCTTGTGGAGCAAGGCACTGGGGCTTCATGTTACAAGTGAGATGCAGGGATGGCCCATCTGTCGCATAGGATGGGTAGGGAGAGACCAACCTGAGACAGAAGGGTGATTAAACATTTTTACAACAGAAGAGATGTTTTACTAGATCCCAAGGCAATCTGCAATGAAATCGATGAAAATATCAAGCCAGTGAGAGGAGCATTTGCAGATTAACTATTAGAATATTGAGACAGCCAGAATATCGTGCCATAGAATTATTTGATACTACCTCTGTAACTTAATATAGGACTTATTTTGACACTATGACAGTGTCAAAAAACGTCTTATATGAAGTTACGGAGGGAGTATATCTGTAGATAGCCCATGCGGAAGTTTCAGATGACTAAGAATTTATGTCTGTGGCTTGTTGAATGTGACGTTTTGATGTTCAAAACTCTCTCTCTCTCTGTTCCTTGATATGTTAGTTGCATGGACATGCTGAATTGTTCTGGCTCATTCTTATTGTAGGTATGGTGTAATATCGACACCTGAACTGACAGGGTGGCAGCTTCTGTCAGCAAACGATAGCTTTCTTATTGCCTCCTCTGATGGTGTCTTTGAGAAAATGAGTATGCAAGATGTTTGCGACATGATGCTGTATGCAAAATATGGTGTTAACCAGGATTTTGAACCCCTTGCTGTCATGCAACAGAATTTGGCGGATTTTATAGTTCATCTTGCTTTACAGAAAGGCACAACAGACAATGTAGCAGCTGTGGTTGTTCCATTGGGATCTCCTAGTAGCTCTGGAGCTAGAATAGAAGATTGGCACCATCTTGAAGAAAATTCAGTGACATCTGTTTTGCCTTTACAGACCATTCCATACCAACACAAGTCAGGTAGGCTTAGTCTCTGATTACTTATATTTGTTAATTGCAACTACTCTGTAATTTGTATGTTGCAATTTTATTTGAAAGCATTTGTATTTTGTTTGACTTTAATCATAACAAAACTGTAATTTCACCCACCGATTGCAGATGACTAATAAAGTAATAATTTGCTAATCCGTGCATTTTCTTATCAGTTTGGTTCAAGTTTCCTTTCAATCTTAAGCTGATTGATGTTTGCATGTTAGTCAGTTCCCTGTTATTATTATGTTGGACACCCTAAATAGGTATGCTGAAATATTCACAGGAGGGTCACGTTTTTTAAGGGGAAACATGACTCCTTGTGCTATGATGTTATCCTCTTCTTTTGCTGCCCTGTTGCTACATTCTGTTTTATCCAAGTGATTGTTTGTTATTGAAGTGATTGTTTGATATATAAGTACACATAACTGGATTGATTCTGTGAATCTGAAGTTCTAATTTAGTTAACTTGTATTGACCATTAGCCTACCCATCAAATTTCGTTGTTTCACTTTCTGCACTCAAAGGTTGTTCAATGTCTCCTGTGAAGTCTTTCTCTGTCCGTATTTACTTTTGTTGACATGTATTTCAATGTATTTGCAGACGATGGGGTTAGTTCAGCTGTTATTGAAATGGAGTATTTCAAGCGCTCATCGGCAAAGTTCCAGAGATTCTTGGTAAGTGGGAAATATATTATGTCACTGTCTGCCCTGAAAGTTAGATATTACCAATTAAAACAAAGAGAATTTACATTCCATGTGCGGTGTGAATGGAAACTATATTTCACTTAGCATGTTAGTGTTCTGCATGAACTTGGAATTCTTTGACAAGAAAGCCCTATCTTCATTCATACTTTCCTTTATTAAGCTACATGTTCAATGTCTGTTGGAGTTTATTGTGGAATCTTTTATGCCATTAATTGTATTTCTGCCTGCTCTGAATTAGGTTGATGCAAAGCTTAAGAGACTCGGTTGTTTCTACTTATCTGAGAGTCTTGATGAAGACATGGACTTTATATTTAGGGTACCCAAGGACTATCAGCATGAAGGAGTCCATGACTTCAATCACATGGCAACTGAAAATGTGTTATCTTCTGATGGTGAGTTACCTTTTTCAGGGATGCATCTTTTTTTAGCAACAAGGTCATTTTTTTTTCCTTTTCTTTGTAGGGTTTTAGCTTGTTGGAGGGTGTAGTCTTATTTCAATGGCTTAGTAATCTTCTTTTTAAGACTTGATAGTTGATACATATTGATTTGGGCATGTTTGAGTTTTTTTTTTTAAATTCGTTTCTATACATTTGATTTTTGATCTTAGACTTTGGGTACCTGAGATAGACGTGGATTTGTAATGTGATGCTTGCTTGCTCATGCCCTCAGTTGTAAAAATTTTCTACATTGGGGTACAGGAAATCTTGAAAAATACAAGGACAGAAACTTTTGCTGGCACCTTGTCCATCAAGATGATGAAATGGGACGGTGTACTAGTCCTGAAGGGTTTGCAAATTATTTTGGCTTGCTTGATTCTGTTTCACATAATGGAAGCAGATCAAGCAGTTCACATGCATTTGGCTATAAGATAGCTGACATCAGGTACCATTTCTATTGTTGAGCATCTTCCTGAGTACCCTTTCAGCATATTCGGATAACAACCTGTAGATGTTTGCTGAAGTTTAGATTATTTGGTTTAATTGCTTTTTAATCGTCATCCGTCACGTGAAAAGTGATATTATTATATTTCTTACTGGTAGAGTCTATGCCAGTCAAACTTCCGCCTGAAATCACTTATACATATATTATCTTGTTGTACTTTTGCTTTCAAGTTTTAGGTGATGACGAGTGCAATACATCTATTACTTTTCCAAATGAAGAACCACACGTAAGTGGATATTATTATATTTCTTACTGGTAGAGTCTATGCCAGTCAAACTTCCGCCCGAAATCACTTATACATATATTATCTTGTTGTACTTTTGCTTTCAAGTTTTAGGTGATAACGAGTGCAATACATCTATTACTTTTCCAAATGAAGAACCACACGTAAGTGGTAATTGCACAGCAGAAAGATATTACTTTATACTCCCTCCACCCTGAATTAGTTGTCTTAGATTTGTCTAGATACGGGCGTATCTAGACACGTTTTAGTGTTAGATACATCCATATCTAGACAAATCTAAGACAACTAATTTGGGATGGAGGTAATAGTTTATATCCTGATTATCGCTGTATTTCATTCATGAATGTACCATTAGTGAAATGATGGAAGAGTTGTTTGTGGCACAATTTATTGGTCAGGTGAGGTGTCAGGTCAGGTGTAAGGGCATAGTTCGAGAAGAGCTGCTGGAGATAGTTTTTTTTTCCTTTGAAACCATTTTCCTCACATCAAGTTGCGTATAATCATTTTCATGGTAATAGTTCAAGTCATGTATACATAAGCATGAGCTTTTCCTTTTTGTAATGATAATTAGGTACAAGCTGAAGAGAAGATTTGATCGCGGTTCATATGGTGAAGTCTGGTTGGCATTTCGTTGGAACTGCTCTGATGATGTAGATGTACATAAAGATCCTTCCCACTTTAGCACTATACTTACACCAGACTCATATAATTGCACAAGTTCAAACACAACATCGTCATCTGATGAAAATCATGGCTCAGACATGATAGATGGTGATTTATTCATATTGAAGCGCATAATGGTAAGCCCACTATTCTTTCCAATGAACTATCTGCCATTCTGTCATGTGCTCCCATTATCTAGTTTTAGAGGTACAGTGATTGATCCTACTTGATGTATTTTGATTCACGCTGCGGTAGCTGGTAAGTGCTAGGAGCCACTAATCTGCTGAATGTTTGATGTTCATGCATATATTAGTTTTCACCGAATGCTGGGTTTTGATATTCTTGCTGTGGTTCAAATGATCATATTGGGCATAATGACCATATCGGGCATCTTTGGCATTTCGAATTTTTCCGCTAATGCATAAAAAAGGGCAGCGCGGTGCATGTAGCTCCCGCTTGCGCAAGGTCTGGGGAAGGGTCCGACCACTTTTCCGCCATTGCATGTGATACATTTAAGAGCAACATTGTCCTTACCCTACAATAAGTAAGATTCTTGAAAAGCTTTATTGTCCTATCTCTGTCTTGACTCTGGTGCTTGGAAACTGCAGGTGGAAAGAGGAAATGCTGCTTACTTGAGTGGATTGCGGGAGAAGTATTTTGGAGAATTATTTTCAAATGCTTCAAAAACTCTTGAAGTTTTGTCAAGGATGGAATCATCATCTGCAACGTTTCCGATGGACATGCAATTCATTGAGTATACCTTTCCAGAACAGAACATCTCAGCTGTTGAAGAATCACTGAAGCATGTGGCTAGGTTTATAGAATCTTTTGAATCAGAATCAAGGGAAATATGGCTTGTGTACCGCAATGAAGGCCGCTCATTGTCAAAATTGTTATATGCTGCTGAAGAAACAAAGTTAGTTACTGGTGATGATAATGAGAGGGTCAGATATATTCAAGTTCTGCAACCATCAAAGTGGTGGTATTGGTTAAGGACTACTAAAGCTGGGCAAACGCAAATGCAAAACCTCTTATGGCAACTGGTATGCTTATTCTAATCTTTATAGTCCTGTAAACGAATGTCACGGCTGCCCCTTTAGGTGCTTCTCACATAGTTTATTGTGGTTTTAGTCATTGTGAAATCCTATATAACTAAATAGTTCATCCTCATTATCTCTATTATCTTAACATGCACATATGCCACCTCATCAAAGGCCCACCACAACATGCATGAGGAAAAAAAATCCATTATTAGTTGATCCCATGCACACATCCCCCTCATCACACATGCCACCCCATTAAAGGCGCACTCAACATGCATGGTAAAAAGTTTTCCATTATGTTATGCCACTTATATTGAAAGTATGTTTTGACTACACAATAATCAAATACTCCTTCCGTCCCATAATATAAGATGTTATTACAACCAATGTACTCATATATTGGTTGTAATAACATCTTATATTATGGGACGGAGGGGGTACAATATATAATATTCATTTTTAGTAGCAGTGGGCAAGAGCGGGCGCCCACGGCCTACGCGTCATTCTGCCGCCCACCTGGGACGTGCACTAACTTGTATCTAACCTCCTAGGAGGATTGTATCAAAACTCCATCTTTTCAATGCAATGAAATGCAAAAGCCCTTTGCATTTTCTCGAAAAAAAAAGTTTTAGTTCATATATTATTATTTCAACTATGCATGTTTCATACAATCATATTACTAAAATATATTGCAATCAATTCCCGTAGCAATGCGCGGGGCATTCTCTAGTTTAAATAAGTTAACCAGCATTCTCACATAGGTCGTTGTATTTTTTTTACCTCTCTTTAATTAAAAAAGGAAGACATAATTTTTAGGGTGCTGGCTTGTTTTTTATGATTTCATACTTAGTAGATTAATATACATTTCTATTCTTGCTTCTTGTTTCAGCTGATGGGTCTGAAGGCATGTCATGATCGTAACATCACTCACAGGGATATTAAACCTGGTAAAAATTCCATTGACTTCTACTCTTTAGTTCCTTACCACACTAATTGAGCCGAACATAGTCCCCCATCTTCCCATCATTTTTTCCAGACATATTCTATCAACGAGTTGTGTTAACATGATTTGTGTTATGCCTTGGTAGAGAACATGATCATCTGCTTTGAGGATTTGAAGACGGGAAAATGTTTAAGAGAGATTCCATCTGAAGCAACGGAAAACAAGCTGAACATGTAAGAACTAAGATGTTCTATGAGATGTACCTCTTACAGTTAGGTTGAGTTTATTTATCTTCTACTTGGATATTTCACTTTTCTTGATAGTTGGATGACAAAATTCTAACGACATTCGGATAGCTGAAATGAGTGTTGTAGGCGTGTATGCAGGTTCCACATGAGTTTTTCAAGCACCCTACTTTTTATAGAAATATTACCAAGTAGTCAAAGTGGATAACAGTAGCACAATGTTTATAAGAAATTTACCTCACATGTACAGTAGTCTAGCTCTACCAGCCCTAAAGAATACGTTGGCCAAGTTTCCCGAACAAACAATAATGTTCTTCATTTCTGTTTCTCATTTGCCAACAAGTCGCTAAAGGGGCCAGTGTAGAGAAAGTTCAATTATATGACATATACCATCACATGGCTTGAAGTGGTGTGCTCTTGCTAGGTGAACTTCAGTTCTAACTTGAGATATTAATACTCAAACTGTGACATGGTGAACTGTCATGTTTGCACATATAAAAATGTTAGCAGGGTGTTGCATACTTCTGGCACTACTCACTGACTTCTTATATGCAGGCGTCTTATTGACTTCGGCAGTGCCATTGATGATTTCACTTTGAAGCATCTTTATGGTTCAGGGCCTACTCGGTGTGTGATAATTTTCTCCCTATTATCATTTATCAGAGCATACATTTATGAGGTTGTTGGGCTTTAGGCACTGAACACTTATTTATTTTTATTTTTTGGATGTTGCAGTTTGAAAATCGTCATCACTTCTTAATTAGGTTGCTCTGTAATGCTTCTCCATTTTATCTCCTATATGATCATTGTGTAACTCAACCATATATTTTAAAAAATCATAGTACTTGAATTCTTGACCGCCAATGATGTTGTATGTTTAGGTTTGAAGAACGTAGCCTCTTTCATTGAGTTGGCATGTACACTTTAGTGCTTCAAGACCTTTCTGTAAATGTTAGATTCATTTTGGACATAGATCTTACAATCCAATATGTGAAAATATGACCTTTTGTTTCTAAAAGTTCTTTTGGAACTGAATGTATCTTTAAGAGTTCAATGAACTAATCCATGATATATTTTTCGAACGGTTCTACACGCTGGTTACAAAGTTGAAGCACGTGAACTGTATGACGTGCAGGATTTATGAATTTATTAGCTAGTATGTGTGTTTTTAATTTTAGATTTTTTTCAAGTAATTTCTTTATTTTCTCATCATGTTTATGCCAATGGTTAATTTTTAGAGTAGGTTCTTGTGCCAACTTGCATGATTTTCCACTTAATGGACATGTTCAGTGCCGAACTGCAACATTTTGTTTCTCGAAAAAGGTGTTTTTCCATGCTAAGTACTTTGGACATTATCTGGCCGTCAATTTACTGCCCAGTATTCTTTTAGCAGTTGCAGACGGCTATACTCTACACTGTCCAACATGCTTGTTGAAGAAGACTGCATGATCCTGCTTTCTTTTATTTCATTCCATTCTAATCCTAGTTTTGAACTCAATTCTAGGTCTGAGCAGACTTTTGAATACACTCCTCCAGAGGCACTCCTTAATTCAAGCTGGTTTCAGGGATCAAAAAGTGCAAGACTTAAGTATGTCTCTGTCCATTTGTTTTACTTGTGCAAATGCTTCCCTGTGCCACCATTGTCAGCACAGCCGCACTGAAAGTCATTGATATTCTCATTGTGTTGTTTACAGATATGATATCTGGAGTGTTGGAGTTGTCATGCTGGAGTTGATAGTTGGTTCTCCACATGTTTTCCAGATAAGTGACCGTGCACGTATTTTAATGGATCAACGCCTTGAAGGGTGGAGTGAGGAAACAAAGGAGCTTGCATACAAGTGAGACACTGTTTTGGTTTTTGATGTGTGAGTTATGAAGTACATTTTCTGTTCCTAGATTAGTGAAGCTGGTATAGTTTGCAACTTGATTCTCATACCAATCCTAAGAAATCAAATATGTTCATTGTGAATGAAATAATACAAACATCATTTAGGCTCATGGAACAAACCAATGCTGTAAGCCAACATAAGAAATTGATGCCCTAAGCTGAAGTGAGTGATTAATAGCAGAACTCAGGTTTTTCTTGAAATTCGACCTTCGACACAGAAAACTACAAAAAAATGGTTTTCTAACAATATATAGCATCTTAGCTAAATGTCTTTTTTAATTATCAGCATGTCACAGTGCCATAATACAATTTGTCTGTTTTGGGGCACTGCTGAACCATTAGTGTCAACTTGCTTGATTATTTGAATTATGGTGATTCCAAATTATCTGTGCAGTATTATTTTTCCTGGTAAATGCTGTGGAGTATTGAGACGTAGCGTTTCTTCTATCTTGTTATGATGTTAGGTTGAGGTCTTACATGGAACTGTGCATTTTAGTACCGGGGATTTCTACGCAGCAGCAAGGCAGCATTAATTCCGAACGGGTTAGTACAACAACTACATTATCTATAGATTAACTTGTAATGATCGTGTGCATTATATGTCATTCTCTTCCAAAAATGTCAGATAAATGCCTGTGTTCACATAGTTGTTCAGGACGGCAAAATTCAGAAAGCTATATTTTTGGCAGAGATTTTTTTTCCAGGAAATGCACAGATCTGCATATACATCCTTTATTATTCCCTGCGTCGACCTATTCTGTCATTATTAGTTTATTACTATGCTTTAAGCTTCGACATCACCTGATTCCTTCTTTCCTTTTCATTATTTAAGGGCCACGGCGGGTTAGCTTCTTGGAAATGCTCTGAAGAATCATTTGCCCGTCAAGTGAAAATCCTAGACCCTCTTAAAATGGGGTTGGTATTTTTTTCTTCTTATCACCATTTTCTGCAGACCCCGATTATTCAGTTCCTCATATCTAATTGTACCACATTGCTAACGTATTCCAGCTTTCCTAATTTGTGGGCATTGCGACTAGCGCGCCAGCTACTAGTGTGGCATCATGTAAGTGTCTTGAACCCAGTTCTGCAAAAGAGGCATTTTGTACCCTTTGTTTCAATAGAATCTGGCTATTACGAATGCGTGATGTGGAATAGTTGCTACATGATGTGAAAAACCGTAGCAGTTATGAAATATCTCCGTCAGGAAAGTTCAATTACTATGCATGTAGGTAATAAACCTCACTTGGGGCAGTATTCTGTTATCTGTAACAAAGATTCTGTGCCTAATGTTGTCTAAGTTCTAATACCTCTTATCCTGATAGGAGTTGTTTTAACTGTGGTCCCACACCCAGGTCTCAATTGAACGAAAGGATGAAGATTTATCACAGCAATTAGTGGACATAATGTGCAGTTGTGCATAATAAGGCACTGATTAGGCTATGGCTGTCCCATTTTCGGTCCTGTGGGTCCTATTAAACTTGAAAAGAACCATGTTAAACCATAATTTGGCCAATTGAGTTTGATCAAGTTAAACAATAATGCAGTTCTTAGTGTGATTTTACCATTTTCTTTGTTTCCATTGATTTAACATGCAATAAATTACCTGTCTCGCAGGAGGACCGTCTAAGCGTTGATGAAGCATTGAACCATCCGTACTTCCAAGAGCCACCATAATCGATAGGCCATGAATAGACCATGAAGAGATGTAATCAGACAGCCTTCAATAGGTCTTTCACGTTTAACTAGCTTCGTTTGGCAAGGTTGTTGAACGGAATCGTAAATCCTGCCCATCAGATGCTGTAAATATCACACAGTGCAATGCAACGTACGCAGAGAAAGATTGTTGGAAGGTGGAGAAACACTTGTATGGATCCAAAATGAATGCAAGGAAGAAGGTGCATTTGAGGACTTTCCGCTGTTCCGCACATATGTGCTTATTAAGACATGACTGGCTAGATTCAACAATGCCACAACGTGAACAATTAACGGTTTGCATCAGGAGCACTACTTGTTGTGGAACGTATAGTATACTGAGCTCACCAGTTGTTTGGTTCACAAAGTGGAAGCACTGGGACATATAACAGAAAATAAAAATATAGCGTTTTAGTTTTTGTTGTGCGGCTTGTATGGGGTCATGTATTTATTTGGTGTTGTATCAACTTCTTGATGAATTTACATGTAGATCTCACATCGCATATGCTGACCGAGGCTTGAGCTTCTTGTAATAGCCCATGACCAACACTTACGTTAGATATTGATTGTACATCATGTGCATCTCATAAGCATCATATGGCATTTTATTAAGGATTAATTTTAATATATTTTACTAAACTAAGCTCTGTTTTTATTTGCCATTGTATTAAATGGTGAATAACTAGGCTTCTGGTGTTCTACACCTAGCCCCACCTCCAAACCTTGCACACGGTTTCATGTAATATTTGGGAGCTACCTAGATTATAAATTATTTCATGATTTTGTCCCTCCTCTAACACCTAGCCTTAGTTTAATTCCGCCTATGTTGTCTCTACACAGTCGGTCCCAAACTTGGGTAAGGAGAGGGGGTTGTGATAGGCCTTGCGAGCCAATTTCAAAACTCAGTCACTCTTATGGAGATGAAACCTAGAAGGCCATTGTTGGAGCGTAACCATCTGAGCGTCACGCCATATCGGAACCCAGGTGTGGTGTTAAATGGGCAACGGTCGGGTCGTCACCTCCTTGGTGGAGCGTCATATCTTGATCTAGATACTGCGATAAGTGAGCAAGGATCATGTCGCCATATCTTTAGTGGTGCGCTACATGGACGCCCAGGTGTAGTAACAATTGAGTAATTGACTCAACGAATGTGAAAGGTGAGGAAGCTAGCCGAGCCTATTGGGGTTCGCTTAGGTAGTTGGAATGTAGGGTCCCTGACATGTAAATTAGGAGAGCTAGTTGATACAACAACGGGAAGAGGTGTTGATATCATATGCACCCAAGAAACCAAATAGAGGGGACAGAAGTCAAAGTAGGTGGACTGATGGAGGATACCGACTTTAAGATGTGATACACGGGAACAACTACAAACAGAAATGGAGTAGGAATCTTGATCAACAAGAGCCTCAAGTATGGAGTGGTGGACGTCAAGAGGCAAGGAGAACAGATTATCCTTGTCAAGCTGATAGTTGGGGACTTAGTTCTCAATGTTATCAGCATGTATGCCTCGCAAGTAGGCCACAATGAGAGCACCAAAAGGGAGTTTTGGGAAGGCCACGAGAACATGGTTAGTAGTGTACCTATTAGCAAGAAGTATGTGGTGGGGGACCTCAATGTCCATGTGGGTACATCTAACATATGTTTTGAAGGGGTGCATGAGGGCTTTGGCTATGACATCAGGAATCAAGGAGATGTCTTAAGATTTACTCTAGCCTACGACATTATGGTAACTAACACTCTCTTTAAAAAGAGAGAATCCCATCTAGTATCTTTTAGTTTCACTAGTCAACTTAATTTCATCCTCCCAAGGAGAGAAGACATGCATGATTTCCTAGATTGTAAATTGATACCTAAAGCGAGTGATATCCCTTAACATAAGCTTTTGGTGGCTAACTTTCACTTCCGGATTCGTGTCCAGCGGGATAAGCACGCCAAAGTCGCTATAACAAAGTGGTGGAATCTCAAGGGGGAAGCAACTCAAGCTTTTAAGGAGAGGATTATTAAGGAGTACCCTTGGGAGGAAGAAGGTGATGCAAACAATATGTGGATGAAGATGGCGAATTGCATTCGTAAGGTGGCTTCAGAGGAGTTTGGGGTGACCAGACGAAGTAGATGCAAAGCTAAAGATACCTGGTGGTGGAACAATGATGTCCAAAAGACTGTTAAGGAGAAGAAAATCTGTTTCAGATGCCTACACCTGGATAGGAGTGCAGACAACATAGAGAAGTACAATGTGGCAAAGAAGGCCGTGAAGCAAGCTGCGAGTGAAGAAATGGGTCAGGCATATGAGAACCTCTACCAGCGCTTAGACACGAAGGAAGGAAGGGACATCTATAAGATGTCATTGTCCCAGACACGGAACCGTCGCGTCCAAATCGAACACCGCGTGAAGGAGGAGCCATCGTCCCCGCCGCAAAACCTCGATGTCTACATCGAATGATGCGTCATGGAGGAGCCGCCATCCTCGTCGCGTCGCTAGCCATGCATCCAGTGGCACCCAACCACCGTCAAGGAGGAGTTATACTCCTCGTCATCCTAGTCATGCACATGCCTCGAATACTACTTCAAAGGCGGCGGGTCGTGTAGCGCGTCCTCCACCTTCTCTGGGGGCTCGAAGGCCCTCATTGAGGCGGAGCAGCGCTCGATCTCCTTCGCCAAGACGTAGATGGCGACAGACTAGGTCCTCGCCAACGAGGAGCTCACGATGGTGTGAGCCTTGGACCAGTCTAAGACCACCAAGGAGAACGCTGCCCGCTGCCGCCATCAAACCAGCCAGGACCTCCTCCACCTCAGCATTCTCTAGTCAAAGTGAGGGCTCCGTGAGAAGGAGGGGAAGGGGCAGCGCAAGGTGGAGGCGGATGCACACCTGTTGAAGCATGATTGTGCTGCGACCGTGGCTGGCCCGACTTCCTTAGTGACGACAACGACGACAAAAAACTACGGTCTGAGTGGCCTCAAAAGTGATGCCTATGAGGTCACTGCCACTCATTAGTTCTGAATTAGTTTAGTTTAGTTTAATTTGGGGTAGTTTGCATGTCATATATATTGAACTTGTTAAACTTTGTTTAGTTTGCATGAAATTTGTCAAACTCAGTAAATTTTCATATGAATGGCGTGTTTGAAATATTTGAAAGATGGGAATGGGGGATAGTGTTGGATGGCCTCCGTTCGATCTGATGTCCGTGGACACATTTGAACGTGTCAACGAATATTTGGGGCCGTCCATTTGATAGACTCCATTGAATATGCCCATTTTTTGTTGTGTCAGTGACACATAAGCCAGTCTGTCTCGATACCTTGCATCGTTGAAAGCCTTCGCAAGGGCGCTAGTGATCACTCTGGGAGAATCCTCTAGACATGACCAGATATGAACAATGATAAGAACATGACACACAATCAATATGATGTGCTGGAATAAGGTTTCTCCAGCCTCTTCCAACCTCGACAATGTTTGATTGTCGCCGATAATGAGAGTATGAGGGTAGGTGTTGCTAGATGTGTTGGCTCTCTTTGACGAAATAGGCTTTCGCCCTGCTATGTTAATATAGCAACCGCCCGATACAACAAGAAGTCCAACGCTAGGGCAAACAACACAATCACGTCCAAAAGAAAAACAAGAGAAAGAAATGCCAGCAACACCGGATCAACGAAAGTTGTAGTATCCTGCAACCGTTGCGCCCACCGGATACATCCACCACGCTCCAATGCCACTGAGTCGTCACGTATCAAGTAACACCTTCAAGAAGGACTGCGACGACAACGACGCTGCTGACCGAACGAATCCTACGATTTCTCCTGATAAACAAAGGGAAGCAGAGGAGAGGTACACCCGACGCCCTTCAAAAAGGTTGATGGCACCCGCAGACGTCACCGTGTCGGTGCCGGGCAGACCCGAGAGGGATTTCGCCCTACCCATCATACCCACAACCCAAGACCAACCGGCGGGTCCACCATTCCAACCGCCCACCAACATGCGCCACCACAGTCACGAGGACACCACCGTCATCTCTCCACTGCAGACGCTACGAGGTCGGCCGAACCAAACGAGGCCACCGACGATAGGGACCGGTAGGACCGCAACCACGTGGGAGGGGACAACCTCCACTGGCACAAGCAGTAGCAGACCGAACGCAGGAGCAGGAGCATGCCGGACCCCCTGCCCAGCCGGACCCAGATCGGGCCCGCTAAGCTCCTGCCGACGCAGCACAGTAGCCGCCGACCCAACGTCCGCATCTCGCCAGCCTAGCCGGAGACGACCCGCCGGAGACCAGACCAACCCGCCTTGACCAGATCAAGCCCAAAAGAGCCCAGATCTGGGCCTGCAGGGCTCCGTCGGCCAACCCCTATCGCCAGCCGCCGCCATGCCTGCGCCCAATCTACACTGGGGCACCGCCCGCCGAGGCGCACCGTCGCCGGAGACCATCGCCCGAGCCGATGAACCGCTAGGGGAAGAAGAAGAGGGCCGCCACCGCCGGCCTCGCCACGGCACCGCCCGAACAAC